TAGCACATCTGTTGAAATCAATTGATCACAACTGTTAAGAGTATTTCTGAATTCACAATTCTGTTCCATTGGTTGATATGCCCAGCATTATAGGAGGACTAAACTGTGTTGAAAACTGTATTAGCTTTCTACTTCTTAACAGAGTTCCACAGCTGTAATTTAAAATAACTCTATTCATTAGCTCACAGTTGCGTAGATTCCAGAAAGAGTTGTCAAGGTTCTATTTTCTATAACACCTTGAAATCAAGGTGAAGGCTGGCTGAGTACTAAGCTGGTACATCTAAGGAGGAACCTGCTTCTCAGCTCATTCAGGTTGCTGACAAACTACTGTTCCTTTTGATTATATGCTTAAATCTCCATTTTTGCGCTACTGATTAAAGACAATTCTCTACAACTCTCCCCTTTCTCCTGCCCCATCTTCAAAGCCATGTGGAGGGGTGAATATTTCTTTATGTATCAAATCTCTCTGACTTCCTCTTTTGCTTCCAGCTATGGAAAACTCTACTTTTCTCAGGGGATTAATTTAGAGCCACCTAGATCATCTTCTACTTACTACACAGTCAGCCCTCCATTTCCAAAGGATCTGCATCCATGGATTCAACCAAATGTGGATAGAAAATAAATACTATGCGGTTAGGCCTACAATGGTTTTGGTTGTACAGAACCCATATAGACTCCTTTCTTCTTATTATTCTGTAAACAATACAGTAACTATTTAAGTAATATTTATACTGTACTGGATTTTATACGTAATCTGGAGATGACTTAAAATATATAAGAGGATGTGCACAGATTATATAAAATACAATGCCATTTTATAAAAGGAACTTAAACATCCACATATTTTTACATGGGGAGGGGCCCCTAGAGTTGATCCTCCGTGTCTACTGAGGGATGACTATATAACATAATAGTCATGGTAGTAGACCTCTGTGGCAGGGGCCAAAGGTCATGTTAAAATTCCATGTATGGGCACTCCCTGGTGGCACAGCGGGTTAAAACACAATACTAAGAAGCTAAAGCCACTTCAGCATGAGTTTGATCCCCACCCAGGAGGTGAAGGCACGGCAGACCTCTCCTGACTTGCCTGCTGCTCCCCTCAGCAATATACTTTGTCAGTCAGCCTGTTCTGCTTCCCACTCTGTCTCTGGTGAATCCTCTCACCATACCTGCACCTCTAGCCTCTACAGTTCTGTATGCATAAATAAGTACATCTTAAAAAAAAAAATTCCCATGTACTATATTGTACCTTTAGAGAAAATTTTGAAATGAGGAAAAGTAATCTTTGTTTTTCGTTCTCAAAATTCCTATTCCTTTGTCTTTCCATATACATTTTAGAATTAGTTTCTGCAAAAAGATGATCAAAATCTGCTGGATATATGACAGAGATTACAAATAATTAAAGATCAATTTTGGAACTGCCATTTTAACATTGAGTCTTGCATCCATGACATGGAATAGTTTCCATTTAACTTTATTTTATATCAGCAATGCTTGGTTGTTTTCAGTATACAAGTCTTACTACTTCTTTTATCAAATATATACAGTGTAATTTGCAAATGGTAGCTTTAGTCAAAGAATTCATAGAAAATTTGCTCCAATATAGCTCTCTTTCATCCCTCTTGCTTTGTACAAATACACACACATGGAAGTGCACAACATATATTTAAATCTCATTAGTTCAACAATACATTTCTGTACTTACTGTTTTATTCTAGTGTGTTACAAATTATTTAAGCAGAAATGCAAAGTTACCTTTATCAATGCTCTAAATTTTGTGTGAATTTGAGTTATTGTCCTAATGTCATTTCCTTTTATCTGAACCTACTTAATTAGAATTTATTGTAATGAAGGAAAGCTAGTAAAAAATTTACTCAGTATTTATTTGGGCCTGTCTTTATGTTGCTTTCATTTCTGATGGCTAATCTTGTTTGACTGCAGGATTATTTTATTCTTCTGCTCATTGAATATGCCACCTCGCCACCTCTTTCCTACACTGTTTCTGAAGAAAAGCCAGCTGTTAATCATATTCTTATTTTACCTACTGACCATTTAGTCTGAGGAATCTAGTAGTATATTTGAGCCAGATATATTTAAACATGATATCTTCTTTGACTTGACTTCTTTGTCAGAAATCTGATGACACTTTTAGACTTCCAACAGAAACTGAACTACTTAAATAAAACAAAGGCAAAGTTTGTTTCTTAAAAGAAGTCAAAGATAGTACAGTATTAAGTAGAACTGAGCTAAATATCGCACAGGAAGATACATAAATAAAATTAAATAGAATATTTATAATGAGTTCTACTGTCACACAAATACATGTGGCAAACACAAAATATCTAACCAAAGAATACATGAAAACAATCACCAAGTAGGGAAGCTTGAAGACACTGTGGCCCTAACCACCACAAAAAGTCTTCTAATTAAGCCTTAGATACCATCAAGAAAGATTAAACATGTGTTCAGTAATGATTTATCTTTAGTACATTTCAGATTCCTGCGTAGTCCATAATCCACATGAAGTTAAGAAACCTGGTATACATAATCATGGGAAAGATGAAAAAAAATTCCACAAATGGCCTTGATCAGATCAGACCAGTAGAGATTCATTAATAGTGATTGTCTGGTGCTAAAAAGTGGTGATAACTTTATAAGAGAGAGAAATCTCAAGAAGATCCAAATTCTACCTTTTTTATATCCATTAGTCAAAAGGATAAAAAGAATGGTAAAGAAAATAGTAAGATAAACTTACATACCAATATTTTTGAACTACAGTGGAAAAACTACTCAAATGCTTCTAAAGTGTTCATACAAAGGAAAAAAAACAGTCTAAATTTTCTAAAATGGTATACAGCCTGTCAAATAAAACTAAAATAGAAATTATAAGCATTATGGCTTGACGTGACGCCACTCAAGTTTAGATTCACAGACAAAAATATAACATTCAATTGTGATAAGAAAAGTTATGTTCTGAAATGTACATCTGCCAAAGCTATGCTTACTAGATGCTCTCATGTCCAAGATCAAGGCGAGACAGGGAAGTACTGTTTCTTATGACAGGGAAATAAGTAAAAAACGCATGTCAGTTAAAATTTGAATTGAAAGAGAGTAAATGAAAAGCCTTTCTAGAGTTCACAGTGAAGAAACTGTAATGCTGAATAAATTACAAAATGAATGTAGAATAAATTCATCTTTGAGGCAAAGGAAGAAAGAGGATGTAATGAAAAGGAAGACAAAATATTCATAGTATAAGTTGACAATTTTTTTTTTTCCTAAGGAAAGGGCAGAAACTGAAAAAGAAAATCATAAAGCAAGATGCTCTTCTGAAGGCTGTGGAAATTAATAAAACCATAAGCAAAACCTATAATATGCAATTTGAGGCCAGATGGCAACCAACACAATGAAGGAGAAAGAACAAGTTTTTTCAATGAACAAATTTCAAATGAATGCCTCATAAAAAAAAAACCCGAAAAACAAAACTGCTTCCAACTCCACCACAAAATCTAGAGGTAAGTTTAAAAAAAAACTTATTTGGGGAGCACATTACCTAATACTATTCTTGACTAAAATTCTTAACTCTCTTAAGACAGTTGTCTCTCGGCTGAACAGTAATGACGTTCTTTGGAAGGGTTACAAAAAGCTCTTAAAGTCTGATTTTCAGGACCTAATACTGTTCAAAAGAGGAAGATGGTACTTTAATACATTATCCATATCTTAAAACTCAATATGAATGACTTTGACTTACTACAGTTATTCCATGTTTTAATATATAAGACTCATCTGTGTCCATTTGAAGATTTAAATTCAAGTAGAAGTGAAAAAGACAGCAAGTATTACTTTCATGATAACAGTAAGACTGCCTCAGAACTTATTTCAGGCACCTCCTGGTGGCACAAGGGGTTAAGTCTCAGCACTATGAAGCTATCAGTAACCACTGCAGCACAAATTCAATCTCAGGATAAGAACTAACAAACATGGAGCAGCAGACCTCTTTTGAACTTCAGTATATTTCAGTCAACCCACTTGTTCTGTTCCCCACTCTGTCTCTGGTGAATCCTCTCACTACCAGCACCTCTGGCCTACAGCTCTCATATGCATAAATATATCAATCTTAAAAAAAAAAAAAGAATTGGTTTCACATAGCAACTGGCAGGGTTTTGAGCATTCCTTAATTATCTAGTTTGTATTACTTGATAAGTGTGTAAATGTTTATATATACTTCTATATATTAATATAAAAACATAAAATGATATAAAATATTGCAATGTTCTCCAATTAATAATTTCTTTTTCTTTTTTTTTTTTAAGGATTTATTTGTGCATACAGAACTGGGGTACAGGCCAGAGGCTCAGAGGTGGCGAGAGGCTTCACCAGAGACAGAGTGGGGAGCAGAACAGGCAGATCGACAAAGTACACTGCTGAGAGGAGCAGTGGGTGGGTCAGGAGAGGTCTGCCACCCCATGTGGTCACCTCCGGGGCAGGAGGGGATCCAACTCAGGCGGAAGTGGCTTTAGCTTAGGCAGGAGGGGATCGAACTCATGCGGAAGTGGCTTTAGCTTAGTGCTGTGCTTTAGCCCACTGCACCACCATGGAGGGCCCCTCCAATAATACTTCCAAGTCAACAAGTTCCAATTACTATTATAAAACATAAACTTGAGTTAGGAAATGCTTTTGAGTGTTTTCCATACGGACATGAGTAACAAACATCCTATTTGATCTTTTGTCTTTAAGCAATACAATCTTGAGATTTCTTTACAATTCCTGCTTTGCTTTCATATTACCAGGAACTTCCCCACTGACTAAAACCTTCTGATCTCTGGGCATAGGAACAAAAGAGGGAAAGGAGAGGGAAATAAAAGATACCAAGTGAATCATGGGCTTTATTTGTATGTTTCAAGGTAGTATTATATACCATGCGACAAAGAAAAAGCAAATGATTCTTCTAACACCTTGCTGATCCACCAGAGACAAGAAAAGGTAAGAATAAAGATGCTTACCTGTTGTTTCTGCATCCTAGCAGCATTAAGTTCTGAGAGAGACATGGTGAGCTTCTCTTGCTGTTCTGATAGGTACTTCTGATATAGGCTTAAAAGTTCTTGGCATTCTCTATATTGTAGCTGAAGAGGTGAGATTGTAAATTAAGGAAAAAAATTCTATTTTAAGTTCATTCAAAATGCACACTCATCAGTGTTACTTTTCAGATCCCAATAAACAAAACAGATAATAATGTAATCATACTTGGTGAGAGTACAGGTAAATAGTTTTCAGATGAACACAGTACAAAAAAAAAACCTCTAAAATAATTCAGAGTATGGTCATACCATTTTAAAAGAAATTTCTCAACTCTTCAAATTGATAAAATGAAAACAAATACAGACACATGCAAAGGAATGAAGTTTGACCCTTACCTCACACCACAAAGAAAAACTAATTGAAAATGGAACACTGATCTAAATGTAAGAGCTGAAACCAAAATACACATAAAAAGAAATCTTTGTCTACTTGAAGTAGGCAACTGCCACCTAAAAAAACAGCAACCAAAGAATAAATAAAAATTTAAAAAGTGCTGTACTTCAAAGGACACTACTAAGAAATTGAAAAGACAACTTTCAGAATGAGAGAAATACTTGGAAATCATTATGTGTGTATGATTTGAAACTATTATGGTATCCAAAATATATAAAATCTAATAGAACTCAACAATAGAAGACCATTATCTTAATTAAATTAAAATTAAAAAGAGCAAAGGACTTAAAAAGATATTTTCATAAAAAACATAAATAAATGGCCAAGCAGCAAAAGAAAAGGTATTTAATCTCATTAGTCACTGGGGAAATTAAAGTTAAACCACAGTGAGATATCACTCACATTCAACTAGGATGGTTATAGTGAAAAAGACCAATAATAAGACATTAGATACCTACCCTTATAGCTGATAGGAACTTAGGAATGTTAGCATTGCCTCAGAAACAAAAACAAACAAAACCTAAAGATAGACATATACCCAGTAATTCCATTTCTAGATATACACCCAAAAGAATTAAACATATATGTCATGTAAAAACTTGTACCAGAATTCAGAGCGTCATTGAATAACACTGAATAATTAAAAAAAAACAAAGTCCACCAAGTGATAAATGGCTAAACATGGTATACATTAAAATATTATTTGTCCATAAAAAGAAACAAAGTATTGTTATATGCTAAAATATAGATGAACTTCAATACATTAAGCTAAGAAATCAGACACATGGTCACATACTGCATGATTTTATGTCTATAAAATTGTTGTTGTTTTTAAAATACCACTTCCAATGAGCTAGGGGAAAGAGTAGTTGGTTCTAAGTATACCAGATCACAATGAAGAGTCATATTCATCTATACCCACTTTCTATCCCATTTTCCAATTTTCTAAAATACCTATTACATGAGAAAAGTTGAAAATAAAAGGAAATATTCAGATTGGCAAATTCATAAAGACAAAAATTACATTTGTTTTTGCCAAGGAAATGTCAGTGGATATGGGTCTTGGGGGGTAGGTAATGAACATGCTCTGGAATTAGATCGTTGTGCTTGCATAGTTTTGAGACTATAATCAAAACCACTGATTGTATATTTTCAAAGGGGTAAATTTTATTTTCTTATATGTAAATTATATCTCAAGCTGTTACCAAACCAAACCAAAAAATTAATGCAGGTTAGAAGTGATGAAGTGATGATACTGTTTGGTAAAATAATTATAATTTTCATAGAAAATTTTAGCTATTAAACATAAAGGTATTATAATCAGTTATTTGTCTTGTTTGATTTGTTTTGCATAATGAGAGCTAAGTCAATGTTTCATTAATAAAATAATCATCAGAACTTTTTTTTAAGGAAATTTTCTTGCTGTAAACTGTACTCCCTTTCATATACTAATAAGGAGAATATAAAAATTGAATTGGACTACCATCCATCTATGTCCTAAAGCTTATAGCGTGCTTAAGATGTAGAAACTACTTTGGAAGCGTGACCTAATTGTGCAGGTCAAGTGTCTACCAGAAAGTGGTTCTATCCAAAGAAGCATTCTGCCTCACTGCTGTGATTTTTTCACTTGGGTTATTTCTGAATCTCCCACTTACACTCATGAGTGTATGTACGCTGTTGGTATAAAAATTACTGTGCAATGAGATTATTTTGTATGAATACTTTTACAACAGGTCATTATGATTAAGGATGGAAATAGTGTTTCTTAAATGTCAAAAATGGTGACTGATTTCAGTATTCCTTAACATTTTCCTAACCTAATCTTTGCTTCTGGGCAGACTCCTGTTCTAATAACTTTTGCCAATCATGACTGCATAAATAGGCAACTGCTTCATTATTCTCATTATTAACCTTTAACAAAAAAAAAAAAAGAAGACAGAAATGGTTTGTAGAAGAGATGCTGGTTTGTCAAGAAAGGATAGGTCACTAAGCTCAGAGAACATGAATTAGAAGAGCTTGTTGAATATTTAGCATCTTAACAATAACAATAGAATGAATAGTGGTCTGAACAAGCTAATATGTTTTCAAAGTCTGTATCACAGACCAAGCTGGTTTTACATTTCCATACTTTTTGTCAGCATATTTCAATAGACAGGAATGATTTGTGGTAGATCCAAGAGTCTCTGCCAGCTATAATGTATATAAAAGGAATTTTCATTTCTAGCTGTTACCAAAGGCAGCAATGTTTTTAGTAGGTGAACCTATTAGCCTGGACACAGAATATGAATTTTACTCTTGAAAAAGCCAGCATAATTATACAGTCTAAGAGTTCAACATGAATATTTGAAGACAAATTACAGGTTTGTTTGTTAAAAAAAAAAAAAATCCATGCTACATGGTAGACTATAAAGTCAGGTAGTCTTATTATCAATTTTTTAATATCCGTTCTTGATTCACCAGATGTGAAATCTCCCTCTTTTTCTTGAAAAGTGAAAATATATGTCCACATACACCTGTAATTTTCTTCCCTTTCTACACAATGAGACTTCAACCCTCCATTTGAGGAAAGAGATTTACTTTAGAAAAATGTGGGTAAAATTCCCTCTTCACTGAAATGGTTGTTGGAAATGGTTATTATGCAAGGCTTATAGCTTATATCCAAAGTGTGTGTGTGTACATATATGTGTGTGTGTATATATATAATGATCAAAGCAAAATGAATAGGAAGAAGGAAGAATAAAAACTGAGAAAAATCAGAGGTAGAGATGGACAGAGAAAGGAGAAATTACTATTAATAGTGGGCTGCCAAGGTAGAAAGAAATTGTCTGAAGCTGGAAGAATTCTTAGAACCCAGCAAACCGTGCTCATTTCACATTCCCCCACCTCTGCCCTGGGACATCTGGGGTCCTCAGGCCTAACAAGTAACACTGACCCCAACCAAAAGCAAATGAAGGACAGCCTCTGTGAGAAAAGGGAGATGCCACATGTTAACAAATTCTTTTTGGGGGACAATTCCTTGGGAAATAGCTGATTAGGTTCTTGGATCGAAAAATTGTGGTCCAACCTAAACTAAGGGTGTTAATAACATCAGAGCCTTGTGAACACCCTCTGACCATTTTAAACTTATGCCACAGAAGTGAGCAACTATTTCATTAGATCCTGCATAATCCTATGATGAAATGTCCCAACCTCAAAAGATTTTTCCACTTGAAGCAAATAAGGTTTTGATCATAGCATATTTCTCATCTCACAATCATTTCCTTTTCTCTCTTTACAAAGCAGAATACATTTCCTGAGCTGAACACTGAAGTCCAAATTATAACCTAGGTTGGTGCTCAATGACAATATACACAATCGGAAAGAACTGTTGGTGAAAGAGAAACTGCTATCAAGATGAACTGATGAACAGAACTAGACAAGAATTTCCTATGAATGTTCTGACCCTTTTATTAAGTTGTGATTTGTGCTGGAGAATACTCATGGATACAAGTCTGAAATTTTCCATTTAATTAAGAGAAATTTATGGCAAACGCAGTGCCAAGTCACAGTGTTTCTAATTTCCTGATAATAAAAATCTGCTGGGGAAGGGAAAAAAACTCCAAAATAAACAGGGGAAAATATAACGTTCTGGAGACTTACAAAGGGTAAGAAGAGTCCAATACCTCTCCCAGTTTCTTTCGGATTCTGCTTCTTCTGTTTGAACTTCAACAACAATTACCACCTGAGCTAAGGAAAGATACCTAGTTAGAGTATTCATGTTTTTTTCTTCTTAAAGATTTATTTATTTATGCATACAGAACTGGGGTACAGGCCAAAGGTGCAGGGGTGGTGAGAGTATTCACCGGAGACAGAGTAGGGAGCAGAACAGACAGACTGATGAGGTATACTGCTGAAGGGAGCAGTGGATGGGTCAGGGGAGATCTGCCGCACCACCTCTTGGGTCACCTCTGGGGTGGGGATCGAACATTCGCTGAAATGGTATTAGCTTCTTAGCGCTGTGCTTTAACCCGCTGCACCACCAGGGAGGGCCCATATTCATGTTTTTTTTTTTTTTTTTAAAGAGCTTTCTATTAATTTTAGTCACTACCTTTCTTTCTTGCAGCTGCAGAGCAAGATGGGGCAGAAAACAAGTTGACATTTCTGTCTTTTGCTCTGGTGGTCAGACCCTGAGGATTTTTAGGAAACCAATTACACAAGTTTCTCTTAGATTAAACATAAGGACACTTGTTTAAAAAGTTCATATGCAGGGCCTTCTCTGGAGGCGCAGCGGGTTAAAGTACAGCACTAAGAAGCTAAAAAAGCCACTTTAGCATGAGTTTGATTCCCTCCCCGAGGTGATCCACATGGCACAGCAGACCTCTCTTGACACGCCCACTGCTCCCCTCAGCAGTGTACTTAGTCAGTCGGCCTGTTCTGCTCCCCACTCTGTCTTTGGTGAATCTTCTCACCATCTCTGCACCTCTGGCCTGTTCTTTATGCATAAATAAATAAATCTTAAAAAAAAAAGTTCATATAGAGATATCCTAAAAAGCAGGTTTACAATATGCCACATTGATCAGAATTTTGATTTCTTCTTTATAGTTTCCTTTTCACACAATTCTCTAAAGATCTATACTTTTAAACATTCACAGGGGCATTAAAGACAGCTGCAAAACAATT